GACAGCTAGATTAGGTGGATGAGGGCGAGGGTGATCCTCGCTCCGATGCGGGACAACAGGTCATCAAACTGGGCGCGGGACAGGCGGAAGTACCGCTGACAGCGGCCGTCATCCAGCGTAGCTCCTGGAGCGAGCAAATGGTGAAACTAACCAAATGGTTCACCTCGGAAGGGTCCGGAGGACAGATATACGGTATACGGATGATCCCCACGCCGCTGTTCTGCTCTCCAGAGTATATACAGAGCGGTGACTCTCTCGATGAATGCTCGGTCGACATAAAAACAATGGTCGCCAACAGATTTCGATTCTGACGCGCGTCACGTGCGTAAATTTCACTTCAAACTTTTGTTTTTACGCGCGTCAGTTTCACTCTTGACACGCGAATTAACACAAAGTGGTCAAGCGTCAAACTAGACGCGTCAGGCGCGAATTTGACGCGCTATTCACATCCGGTGTGAACACAGCATACCACTGAGCCCGACATGACATCATGTCCAATGAAGGGCGCTCACGCCTTCACAGCCGCATAGCTCGCCAGAATGTGTGTGGCTTAGCATATGTAAGTAGGGCTTGGAGGTTGTGTCTCTGGTTTTCATCGACTGAAGTGAAAATCGCTTGTGGCGCGAGCACGGCTGATTACGGAATACTCCTTCCCTCTTCTAGAGAACTGAGGTTACATTAGGTAACCGATATGTTCTCTTACGAGAAGTTCTCTCGTATTGCGTAAATTAGCTTACGCTACAGCAACCCTTTGTCAACACTGTGAGCGCCAAGCATCGACTCATGAGTCCCAGGGTTTCCCGGGGAACCCAGAATACAGAGTGGCGCTGCTAGTCTGTATAAGCATATAGCACATACCCATTAGTGCAGCTCAACCAGAAGAGCTAGGACACGTGAGATTAGCCTGCACATGATCCTATCTGGACAGAACGTACATCTCACTTAAACTGACCTGCAGAACTGAAGTTTAGCCTGCAGAACAGGAACTTCTAGGTTATAAAACCTGACAAAGGTGGACGGGGAGGCCCAGCCCGTCGCCACACATATAATAATAATAATACATTTTATTTGTAAGGCACTTTACATTTGACACCAAATCTCAAAGTGCTACAGTAAAGCATAGTTAAAAATAGACATAAGAAATACAGTAATAAAAACAGAATATGTTAGAAAGAGGAATTAAAAACAAGCATTAGCTATTAAAATAAGCCTGTGTAAAAAGATGAGTTTTTAGTCCTTTTTTAAATGCCTCTACTGTCTGCGGGGCTCTAAGGTGGTCTGGTAGAGCGTTCCACAGGCAGGGAGCAGCGACTTGAAAGGCCCTGTCGCCCATAGTTTTGAGCCGTGTCCTGGGCATAACCAAACGGTGCTGTTGGCCTGACCGGGTTCTGGTTGATGAAATAGGTGTGAGCAGCTCGGTGAGATAAGTGGGGGCCACACCGTGCAGACAGTGATGGGTCTGAAGGAGAACCTTATATTCTATGTGTGACTGAATGGGTAACCAGTGCAGTGAACGAAGGATGGGGGTGATGTGCTCATGTTTACGCACCCCCATCAGGACCCTGGCAGCGCTGTTCTGAACATACTGGAGCTTTTGAAGGCTCCTGCCAGGAATCCCGATGAGGAGTGCATTACAGTAATCCAACCTGGAGGACACAAAAGCATGGACAAGCTTCTCTGCAGCAGAAAGGGAGAGGGAGGGGCGCAGTTTGGAAATATTGCGTAGGTGAAAGAATGCAGTTTTGCAGATAGTGGTGACATGACTGTCGAATGAAAGGTGGGGGTCAAATTTCACCCCTAGGTTAATAACAGAGGAAGAGAGGGGAGTGATGTGTCCAAAAAATGAAACAGAGGTGATTGGAGAGGAGCGGAGTTGATGAGCCGTTCCAGTTTGGATGGCCTCTGTTTTGGAGCCATTTAACTGCAGGAAGTTTTCACTCATCCATGCCTCTATCTCCTTCAGGCAGGAGCTAAGGCGTGCAGCCGTGACAGAGAGGGAGCTAGAGGGAGTAACTTGAAGGTATAGTTGTGTGTCATCAGCATAGCAATGGAAATTTACTCCATGCTTGCTGATGACACGACCCAAGGGGAGCATGTAAATGTTGAAGAGGGTCGGACCGAGTACGGAGCCCTGAGGGACCCCACAGATGACAGAGTGGGGTCTGGATTTTACATCCCCCAGAGCTACATACTCGGTTCTATCAGTGAGATAGGAGTGAAACCATTTCAGGGCAGTACCAGAGAGACCTGTGAAGTGTTGAAGTCGGTGCAGGAGAATGTGATGATCTACAGTGTCAAACGCAGCAGAGAGGTCGAGAAGAATGAGAAGGGATGTGGAGCCGGAATCAGAAGCCATAAGCAAATCGTTGGTGACTCTGATAAGAGCTGTTTCTGTGCTATGGGATGGACGAAAACCAGATTGAAATTTCTCATATAACCTGTTTGATTTGAGATGATTTTGGAGCTGGATGGAAACAACTTTTTCCAGGAGTTTGGAAATGAAAGGGAGATTTGAAATTGGTCTGTAATTTGACAACAGTGTGGGGTCCAGGGTGGGTTTTTTGAGGAGGGGTTTGATGAGAGCAATTTTGAGGGAGTTAGGAACATAGCCCGTCTCTACAGACATGTTTATTATTTTGGTTATGAGGGAACTGATAGAGCTAGTGTGGGTTTTAAGCAGAGACGATGGAAAGGGGTCAAGGCGGCAAGTGGATGTTTTGGATTTATGAATGATGTTTTCGACCTCCTGCTGTGTTGTGGGTGACAATTTTGATAGGGTTTGAGCAATCGGTGTAACGGGTAGATCTAGTGAAGTGGAAATGAGGAGTGAATATTGACAATTTTTGATGTGAAAAAATCAAGAAACCGGTTGCAGTTTATGTCGGTTGGACTATAGAATGGGGAGATCTGTGGTTTGATGATCTAATTTATTGTGGAGAACAGTTTTTTGGAGTTACCAGTATCGTTGTTTATAACTGTTGAGTAATGTTCTGACCTAGCCTTGGAGAGTGCTTTGGCATAAGCCCTACGATGTTCCCGGTTGGCCAACTTATGCACCGTCAATTCAGATGTTTTACATGCATGCTCCAGGACACGGCCAGACCTCTTCATCTCTCTCAGCTTGTTTGTAAACCAGGGAGCAGAGCGGGTAAACGTGACTGTCTGGGTTTTTAATGGAGCAATACAGTCCAGAATTGAGGTGAGACTAGTATTGTAGTAGCAGATGAGTTTGGAGGGGGCAGATGAGTTTGGAGGGGGGGAGAGATGCTGTAAACAGTGACTGAGTGAGGTAGCGTCCAAGTTCTTGATGTTCCTGAAGGTTATAACACGTTTTGGTTTGGTGGGAGGAACTAGTAGTGGGACTTCAAATGTAACCGCCAGGTGATCGGAGACACCCACGTCATACACCTGAAGGCCTGAAACTGAGAGGGAGTCTGTAATGAAAAGGTCGAGTGTATGCCCTCTATTGTGTGTGGGGACATCCACAAACTGTTGAAGGTTAAGACAGTCCAGGGTTTGCTTGAAATTTGAGGCCAGTTTACAGTTTTTGGAGTCCATGTGTATGTTGAAATCACCAATAACCAGAATATTTGAGTGCGATGTACAGAGTGAGATTATGTAGTGCTATGTAGTGAATAGAAATTCTGCTGGACCATGCCCACGATGACGCCGTCGCCTTGCCTCTAGTGGAATTAGCCCTGATACCCAAGGGCCATTGCAGAACTTTCGACGCATTAGCGGCAGCTATATCGTCCACAATCCATCTGGATAGGCTTTGTTTCAAGGCGGCAAAACCCTTGCTGCGCCTACCAAACGAAAAGCTGCTCCAACCGCCTGAAAGGGGCGGAGTGCGCAGTGTAAACCCTCAGTGCCCTGAATGGGCAGAAGAGATTAACATTGCTCTCGATGATGGCAGAGCCGGTAGAGAAATGACCTGCGCTCTGAGTGGAAATCACTTCTGGAACATGTCGTGTCTAGTTTTGAGGATGACTTTTGAGTCATTTGGCCCAAACTCAAGACACGCAGCGCTGACGTACAGCGCGTATAAGTCCCCCACGCGTTTAACTGATGACAGAACTGTCAGAAAAATGGTTTTGAGTGACAGGTACTCTAACTCCACAGAATCTAGTGGTTATAAGGGGAAAGCTTTCAGGGCCTCGAGGACCAACATAAGATCCCATACAGGAACCGACGGGGGCGCAGAGGTTTCATCCTTCTGGCTCCTCTAAGGAAGCGGGTGACAAGCTCGTTTTTCCTTAGTGACTGGCCGCGCATTGTTTCATAAATGTATGGGGTGTTAGAGACAGGCCGAATGGCAGGACAGGGCATCTTTCAATCTAGAGAGATAAACCAATCCCTCAGGCAAACGTGTGCAAGGATTTTCCTGGTCGTAAGCATTTTTAAAAAGTCTTTTCATAAGCACTTTGTTCAAATGTCTCAGATCTAAGATAGGCCTAAGGGCTCTGTCCTTCTTGGGCACGAGAAAATAATGGCTGTAAATGCCTGATTGCTCAAGGCGGTACCAGTTCTATAGACTCTGTACAGCAGCTTTGCTATTTCTGCGCGGAGTAGATGTGTCCGTGCTCGAAAGCGCGGGCGACAGCGAACAAACTGTAGCGAATAGCCCTGCCTTATTGTATTTAGCACCCATTCTGAAACCCCTGCCCTGTTTTATACATGTACAGCAAGGGGCCGAATGTCCTCCGGGTTCTGATCGCCCACACTACGTGGGCCCTAGAAACTGAACCTGAGGTGTGGGCGTGACGTGCGCCCTAGGTGCTTGAATACGGCGGCTTGCTCACAGCGGTGACGGGCTGTTTTAATATATGACGTTTTGTGATCACTTTTATGCGCGAGCAGAGTCCTGGGTGAAGCATTCACTAGTAAGCGTGATTTGTTTGATTTGTATGCATTGTTTTCACAACATGCCCATGCGCCATGCGTAGTGTGCATACATTTTTATTATAACACAACACAACACACACACACACACACAACACTTTCCACTTGTAGATTCTTTTAACATTTTTATTTTTTCCATCCTTTATTTGTACTCTGTCCTTCAATTCTGTGCTATATTGAATGTTCATACTGAAACATTTCACCTCATTCTTGATTTCTGGAGAAAACCTCAGAATTGCAAACACCACAATCCGACCCCAAGCAGTCATGTGGATGCCACAATTTACACTGAGCATTCAGTTTACTTAAATTGAATGTTAGGTGGAAGACAAGTACATTGACACTACTGTTAAGTTAAAAATAAATACTTTAAAAAACAACAACAACAACAACAAAAACAAAAAACAAAGAATACAAATCCCACAGGGATATATCATAACTTTTTTCATCCTACACAAAATTGTACATTTTTTAAAATGTTTTCATCTAATATTCATCCGAGAATTTCAGGAATACAAAATGTTTTTTTTAACACAAACATAATGGTACATCAAAATGTTAAATATTGTACAAAAGTTGTTTTTCTTCTAAAGCACTAATCAAAATCCATTAACAAACAAGGTGTTGGAACTACTATAAATGCAAGGGAGTGTAACCAGATGTACCTGCCAGCAGCATGTGACACAGTATGTGGTCCTGAGAGCAAGGCCTTGATTTTGTCTCTAATCTAACCATCAACTGTGCAGCCCCTTATCCAGGATGACCATGGGCTGCATATCTTGAAGTTGCTTCAGCAAAAGTTCAGAACAACTGGATAGGTTCTCATACATAACAATTTTAACATTCTTCACATTCTCAATCTTTAGTGGATTTCTGAAATTAACAAGACATTGGACTTGATCTCTCTCTTGAATGATTGGTTGAAGTGTTCTCTGTCGTTTTGATGGATTGGACACTGGAGTGTCTTCACTGAACTTTAGGACAGATGTCTCAAACTCTGAAGGCTTATATAGTTTTAGTGCAACGTCTTTCTCTACTTGGTTCCCTTGACAGCTAGATGAGTTCAATATGGATCCTGAGACTTTCAGCATACATTTAACATGCTCCCCGGGGCAGTTACGAAGACTTTTCTTTCTTTCTACACACATTTTGTTTCTACATTCTGACTTTCGTGGACGACCTCTTTTCCGTTTGACCACAGGTATGGTTGTGGCAGTGAAACTTTCATTACGTAGAACCTCAGCTACAGGATCTGGGCCTACATCTTGAGGACTGACGTTCCCATTTTCTGTGTGATGTTCATCAAAAACCGTTTGCTCCACCTCAATATTCTTTGAGGTACTATCTGCTCTGGGCATCGCACTGCTTTTCATGCAAAATATGAACTGGCTTCTTTGATCCTCAATGTACTGTTCCGTGAGGCCATGAGTGGTGTAATGTTTCAATATACTCTGCTCATCACTCATTATTGAATCACAACTCTCAATCATACATGGGTATTGTAGAGGAAGTCTTTGATTGCACATGGCAGATACATCATCGATGGATTTAAGAGCAGGCTTTTCTAAGGTCATTAAAAGGTTTTTGGCCTTGTCCTCTCTCTTTTTTGAATTCTTCTTTTTCATTTTTGTATTGTTATTTGCAATGTTCTCTTTTCCATTGTTAGAACTTGCACTTAACTTTTTTGCTTGAACATCATTCCCAATTCCACTTTTTTGTTTCTGTTTCATAGTTTCAAAAGTAGCATCATGTTTCTTCATAAGATGTCGAAGAAGGTTTGACTTGGTTGTATAGACCCTATCACAACCTTCAAATTGACACCTGAATGTGAGGTCCACACTTTCAAAATCCCCATCTGCTGAAACCTTTATTGCTTTGTGATCATTTTTGATATGATCAATGTATTTCAAATGACACGTAAAGTGAGCAGAACATTTTGACTGGTCACACTGAAAAGTGCCTACCTCAATACCGGATAACAATGCACTTGCCTTTTCTAATGTGCATCTGTGGAGCAAAAGATAGTGTTTCAACAAACTGGTAACTTTCGACACTACTTTTGAACATTGTTTGACTTGGCATCTGTATTCCTGCACTTGGACAACTCCATCAGTTTCTTTAGCACTGTTCTTTTCATCACGTTCTGACTGATGCATAGCCCTATAATGGAGGATAAGATTGTGTTGGATTGAAAAGGCAGCCACACATCCTTCATGCACACATCGATATGGCCGGAACATACTTGAATCACCAGAATCAATGGTGTCTATTGTCATTGTAGTTTTCTCTTGAATATCAACCATCACATCTGAATTCATTTCAATTTGTCTGTTAGATTCAGAAGTTGTATTTTCTGTTCTTTCGTCTGGAGCATCTGTTGTGTCAAAGAGATGTCTTCCATCACTCAGCTCTTGCATCACAAATATACCTGGTTTGTTTAATTCACTGACATGATTCTCTTCAGCCAGAGACGGGTCTTTCAGGGGTTTTACACATGTAGCTGAAAGCCCTTCAAGATTAACGTTTTCCTTTGATGCTTCCACAGTTCTGCAAGTCTCAGTATTGGAAACTGTAAGGGACTTTTGTGTGGGGCGTTTCTTTTTTCTTTGGTAACAATGTTGGCTTTTCCTTCAACATTTGAATCAGAAGATGTAACAGTCAGATTTGGATTGATTTGGGGTTGAATTTGCTCTGATAGGGAGTCCTTTCCCTGGTCAGTGATGACTTTTTTTGACTTTGATGTAGATTTTCTGATCTTTCTATAACCAAGACCGATTTTCAAGTGAGACATTTCTTCTTTTGAAAAATGGTGGACATTTTTGTAGTGGATTTTAAGGCCTGTGGTTCTGGTAAATCCCTTTGAACATAAATGACAGTTGTATGGTGCAAATTTGTCAGGGTTTTTCTTTATTTGATTTATCCTGTCCTCACTGTAATCATGTACACGGCTAAGGTGTTTAAATAAAGCTTCTTTTGTCATTGCTCCATAAACACCCTTCTTCACATCTAAAGGGCTTTAAAACACATTTCTGCTCGTTTTGTACAGGATCTTCAATTGTGTGACACTGATCATTTTTCGTGACATCTTTAGAGCTTTGATCATGCAGGTTAGTGCTCTCAGATTTGATCTCACATTTGTCCCGACTGAGTATATCAACTAAATCAAGACGCTGTAATGCCCTTTCAATTTCTATGATTTTGCCATCTTCACCAGTATTTGCAGAGATGATTTCAGCTTCATGTTTGATTTCTAAGCCAGTGTTTGATACAGGTGGATGGAATAAACTGTAATTTGTAGTCATTTCAGAGGGGTCTTGAGAAGACAAATTAGTGTTCTGGATGCTATCTGTGCCACCATGCATGTTTGTTAAAGTGTTACTGTTAAAGGTATTTGATTCTGATGGTGCATAGATGCAGGATTTGTGAGTCTGCTCAATTATGTCATTCATGGGGAGAGGTATTTGTGCCATTGAAATATCAGGATCATTCAGAAAATCCAGAAATGATACTGGTAAGTCAGCAGTAAGATCAATTTCATCTACAGGTTTGCACTGAGAACGTTTTGATAAATGACCTCCAAGTGACTTTGTGCTTGAAAACTCTCTGTAGCACCTGCAACAAATGACTTTCCCATCCTGTATTATGGCAGGCCATTTTGCTCTCTTAGATGATTTAACTTTTTTGGATTTCCTAGTTTCACCAGAACCTGAAACATTTTGATCA